ACCACCACCATCAAGAAAGTCAAAAGTGCAGTTTGTTGCTGGCCACTTGATGCGTTGGGCCTTTGGCCCTGTGCTCAGCAACCGTGATCGAAATGCAAGCGTAAAGAATCCTGCAACGCTTTTCCAGAGTGCGTTCGCCTTCGAAGGTTCTAATTATCGGTGACATCAGCTCCCCGTTGGTCAATTTGGCTGCTTTGCTCGAGGGTTAAAATCCCAAGCAGCAACCCAACTCCATGCCAATGTTGTGTTCACATCGGATCATCTTCACGAGAGCTCACCTGACCCACCCTGTCTTTTTGCACACACGCAGACGGACGGAGCGAATTGCCATTCACGCTTTCTACGTTAGGTGAGGAAAGTGTTTGAAGAAATTTAAAAAAAAATCTACGGGACACCTGGCTCACTGGGGAGCCTCCGGTGGCTCCCAGAGAGCCCGACGAGGGGAGCAGCCCAGGGCCCACGAGTTGGGGGGTCACAGCGTGGATCGTCAGCGGGCCCGAACATTTCGCCCAACGCCGCCCAACAACTTAGGCTTGAGCGCAGACAGATGTCCCCCTCCCCTCCACAATCCACTTTTCGAGTTAGGAAGCAGGCCATATGCTGCGTCTCATCAATAGGCTTTATGGGTATTCTTGCAGTGGAATCGCTATTGAGTGTGTACAGGTGGTGTAACTGCACCTGGGACTCTGGGTCAGATGGGGCCCAGGCACCAGACTACGAAGAGAGTGAATGTCCTTTGTTACTCCACATGGTTACCCTTGGTTACTCCACATGGTTACCCTTGGTTACTCCACATGGTTACCCTTTGTTACTCCACATGGCTACACTTGGTTACTCCACATGGCTACCCTTGGTTACTCCACATGGTTACTCTTGGTTATGCCACATGAACTCCGATGGCTATTAGTTGCCCAAGTAACTTTAAAATCAGTCGTGTTTCTACCAAACAATGCTGCCTTGTCAAGTTCCACATCTTCTATCATGGAACCCAACCCTCCCCCGGCAAAAAAAAACCAACTCGTTGCACTGTAAGTTAAAAGAAGGGGTCGAGCGGTGGCGCAGTGGTTATCCCGCTGCGCTGTAAGCCTGGCGTCATGAGTTCGATCCCCAGCCTTGGCGAACGTGTCGGTGTCGAGTTGTTATCGGGTCCTGGCTTTGCCCCCGCTCTGACCATCGTGGTGAAGTATGGTCGATCAACCCCATGACTAACATGGCATTGGGGAGGCCTTCATCTGGCAATGGGTTAACAAAGGCCTGTAATCTTTTTGGTTCTTTCGGTAAAGTCACGTAGAATGAGAATAAAATAATAAAAATAAAACATAATAAAATAAAATTCTCACGACGTTTTGGCCACAACACAAGTAGCCTTCTTCAGGTGAAGAGACACTCGATAAGCTGAGCCTTCTTATCCCGCAGTTTGTTAAAGGATCGAAAAAAGGCCTGTAAATTAATCATTTAATTGCTCTTCTACAATTTGATCAAGTAAAAACAAAAACCATTTGAAATAATTTCTTCCTTCAATATCTGTATTTATGCTGCACATGATTCTTGCATACACGTAGAGCCCACTAGTCAACCCGCTGCAGGATGAGCGCCTCTCCACACCGTTCGGGTCGTTTGACCATACTTCACCACGCTGGTTAGCACGACTTGGTCAAAGTTCGGGGGAGTACAGAACAGCAGCGTATTTTTCTGCAGAGCCCTGCGCTGTCCACAACGCCCATGACACCGGTGCCGGTGCAGAATCAGAATCAGCTATAAAGCTTTTTTTTCACAGATGTCTTTTTCGCATTATGGGCACCCAACCGAGTGAAAATCAGGCTCGAGCCTGATTTTTCAGGCTCGAGCCTGATTTTGCTTCCGAGCTGTGATGGGATAGATCAGCATTCCGGGTCGACTTGGTGATGGGCCGGAATTCTTGTAAGTTCAGTGAAAGAAAAATAAAACAAATACCAGTGGGTGAAAACGACCGTGAATGATTTGATGCCAACGAGCGGAAGGGACTCTAGTGAATGTCTGGCCGGAGACTCTCTCTCCGCGCAGTTGTTGTTTTCGTGGCTTCGCCCGGAGCCTCCTTGCGCTCGCACGCGTCGCGCGGCAGCTGTCGCCGGCGCAAGCGGCCACGGGGGGGGGGGGGGGGGGGGCCCATGGGCGGCACCGGAGAGAGAGAGGGCTTTTCGTTTTTTGGAAGAAAAAAAATGTTTGCCGTCCAGTTTGGGCGCCATCGTTGGAGTCATCGACCGTTACATTTCACATCCTGACATCCTGGCAAAAGCTTACTACACACACATCCTGCGTCCACCAAATCGCGCACCCTCCGGTTGCGGGATAAGGTCAGGGATGAAGAACGTTTGTGGAAATGGAGAGGACTCGGCCTTGTCACCTGTCGTGGTTTTCCCAGGATCGTCCTCTCTTCGAAGTAGCTGTCGAATCTACGTGCCTTGCCAAGGCCGTCGAGTCCCAGGTTTCGTCGGTTGCGTTATAATAAATACGGTGCATTTACATGGAGCTCGCTGATCTTCTGGTATTGCGGGAGGTATTCTTCTTCCCGTGATGCATCCTGGCTTTTTGTACTTTGGAGGAAGCGACCTGAGGAGGGACCCTAGGCCATTTGGACTCACCTCTGTTGAACCCTCAACCATCTTATCCACAATCCCTTGCGCTGGTGAACGACATTTTTGAAGGTCAGCCAGCTGTCTGACACTTGTTTTTCCTAAAGCAGTGCGCTTAATGTTAAACAAAGTTACGATAAATTTGGCTAGATTTGAGTCATTTTTGGCTTGTGTTAAGCAAGTGGAGAGGTAGCAGTTAGCGCACTGCACTCTGAACCCGGTGGATCCAAGTTCGATTCCCGGCCACAGTGGTGAGACTCGCATCCCCCCCCCCCCACTACACACGCCCCCTCACCACCCTTCAACAAACCCACGCCGACCAACGTGGCAAAGTATGCTAAAAAAAAACACGACTTCAACAAACGACATGGTAAATAGGGTGGGGCGGGGAGCATCTTTATCCATCAGTGGATTGAAAATGTCTGGAAATATGAAGCCCTCGAGGTGTGTGGGGGTCACGCGCAACCCTCCGCACCTGCGATCTGCACGGTTGGGCTACGTGTGGCGACGACAGAAGTTCACCGTACACTCAGCTGTGGTACGATTCACGCGGTGGCCGGTGTTCGCACAGCAGGGCGTTTATAAAGCCACATCTAAAATGGGGCCGTGGCCCCAAACAACCCCACTTGGCCACAAAGAGGACGGCTGAGCTTCTCAAGGGCTACCGCAAAGGCAATCAAGCGCAATTCCGCCCCGCCAAGTACGGAATTTTTCTCTTTCCCTCCAACCCCTCCATCACCTCCCTCGCAGAAATTAACCGGCAGAATCGCGGCTCCGCACGTCGCGGGAAAGCCGTGTCGTGAGGAGGCAGTTCTCCCCCCTCGCCCTGCCCGCTGCCCGCCGGAGAAGCCACAGCCCTAAATGGCGTCACCGGCGATGCCACAGCCAACACGGCAGCGTAAATGAAAAAAAAAAGCCCTCATGAATAATGTAATTTGATTATAATATATGAGCGGATGCACCTAGGCGCAGTAATATTTTATGAACACCGTTCTAAAAATGGGAGCTCTTTTTTTTCTGGCATTATAAGCGTTTGCGCAACTGTCACAAAAAAAATGCCCTTGCAATAGGTAAAAGGTAAAGGCACGGGCCTACAACTGCTTGTTCACGCCGCTGCTGGCGGAAGGCCCTCCACTAGACAGAGCTCCGAAGGGTCCCTCCGGTGGGTGCACGCATTATCGCTTAAAAAATGTAACATTGCACGTGGCAAATATTGGTCGCTGTGCCCTTTGACCCTTAGAGATCACAGTGTCACTCTTCCTGCGTCCGTCCTGCACCTTGCGCCACTGAAGGAGGAAAGAGGTTCATTTTCCGCTCTTCATTGCCTACGCGCCGCTCTACTATGAGCGACATCGCAACTGGGGGGGGGGGTAAGGGGGCAAAAAAAACTCGGCCCATCAAACGGGAACGGCAGAATCGCAGTAACGCACGAGAGGGTGACAACATCGCTGAGCCACCCTCTCTCTCTCTCTCGTGGCTGGCAGCGTTTCATCTCGCGAACGAGGGTTGGAAAAAAAAGAAGTGGCAGCTTTGTTTTGTATGCTGCACTGGGTATATTAATCGGTTACCCTGGGAGACCCTAGCCTCCCTGCACAGCCAGCACAGTCCTAGAAGCCCCCCCCCATCCTCCCCTTTACGCTTCCATCTCTGCTTCCACCCTCCTCCCTCCCTTCGCTCCCCCCCCCGCCCCGCCCTCCACAACTGCTCCATCCCCCCCCCTCTCTCTCTCCTTGGTAGCACCCGAATTGACGGACGACGCACACAAAGGCCTTTTCTGTCTCGATGCCCGATTGGCTTTCCTGCCAAAGATCGCTTCACAAAGCCAGAGCACCCCCCCCCCCCGCCACGGGGGACGTGGGGCGACTCTCAACGACCGCGTAACACTCCCCACCCCGATGGCTCCTGCCTCGTTTGCAGCCTGCTTTTTAAAAATGTTTTAACAAAAATCCTCCCCCCCCCCCCCCCCCCATTTTTTGTGCTACAGCTAAACAATTTTTCTCGCGTTGATTTTTGTCGTTGCGTTTTTAAACCAACGCACGGTACGTATTTCTGTAGATAAATTCATTGCGCGGGCTGCTGCGGATATCGCAAGGTTCCGAAATGCTTAAGCAGAGCAGCGAGCGGCAGAACCACAAGCGAAAGCCACCGAGTGACTGTAGCGTGGATTTGTAATACTGCGCGCAGCAGCAGCAGCAGCAGCCAGGCCTGGCGTGCCTTACCGCCCAACGCGCACGCAAAAAAAAACGCGCGCGCGTAAAAACCGAACGCGCCGCACGATCCTCGCACGACACCGCCAAGCGTCGCGATCACGATGAAATCCCGCCGACGATTTTTCTCCGGGCGGATTTCATCGGGCCGCCAAAACTTGGGCGAGGGACAGCGTCTTACCTTGGGGCTCCAGGGAGTGACGCTACAGCACCCGCTCCGTTCCGTCACGTGGCGGCTGCCGCCGTCGCCACCGCTGCCACCACCACCGCCAGCAGCAGCAGCACTGCCGGAGCTCACAGCCTTAATGGTGGCACACGCGCGGGGAAACGGTGGATCAATGCCAGCGCGCGTCAGTGGCCCAGAAGACGCAGATGGACCCAGTGAGCGTGATGTAATCCCGCAGTGATGTCCACTGTCATCGGTGTCTTGCGCATTCATTCATTCATTCCTTGGTTCGTTCATTCATTCGCTTGCTCGCTCGCTCGCTCGTTTGCCCGCTCCGTTTTGTTTGGCCATTCATGAGGTCTACCTTCCCCATGCGCGGCTACTTAAAATTAATTGTCTTCGTTTCATACAAAAATTCTAATCATCATAATGTCTTCATGAAATGCTAGATTGAGATTGTCCAGTGTAAAAACCACCCGTTCGGTTCGCTACATTACAAATGGTCACCACGATTACAATTACATTTTAAAAAATAACAATTTAAGCGTATAAATATTTTGCTTTAACAATGAACACACGTCGCTTCGCTGCAAACTCGATCGCCAAATACGCATGGTGCAACAAAGAAAATGTCATGTAAAAATGTTTTTTTTTATCGCTCATTAGACATTCTCGAATTCACACCTTTCTCAAGGCCACGCTGGCCTCCTACTGGCAGAAGATGAGCGGTGCTGACGGATGAGCGCGCATGACATCACCGCGGCCGCTGGAACATCGCTCTATAATGGTGCGGGGCTTCATCCCTCCACGGCCGCGCTTCCGTCGCGACCGAGATACGACGCCCACAAGGGCAAGCGTAATGAGGAGGGCATCGCGTGCACGCCTCCTCGGCACGTCCGTTCCTTTCACTGTGACGACTGCGCCAAAAGAAATAATGCCCAGGGCCCCCCCCTCCCCCCCCCACTGCCAACCGAAATATGGCACTGCTGTGAGACGGATGGCACCATCATGTTGCGATGTCCCTTAAAGCAAGGCGAGTCCGAATTGGGATCATTAGTCGCGTCCATATGAAGAAAAAATATAAGCATCCATTAAAATAATTCTGAAAGAAGCGTAATGGAGTGGGCGTTATAAACAAGAGTTGAATGGTGCAGTCGGGTGAGATGTGTACATATTATGACATCACAGATCGTGGGACACATCATATGATCATTCTCATGGCCACTGTGGGGATCCGGACAGCCCTACAATTTGTTTTTATGCCGCTAAGAGACATCCACAACATTTTGGACAAAAAATTCTGGCATTTTTGAGACCCGTGTTTCTCTCCCTTGAGCAAGGCGACCCAAATGCCGATTATTCCAAAGACAGAACATTTAAATAAACAGCAACGCATGGATGGTTGAGGCTCGGTATGGAATCATTAGCCAGTACTATAGTTGTATGGAAAGCTGGACAATTGCAAACACCCTACAAAGCAACGTAGAAGCAACGGAAATGTGGTTTTAGGACAAGATGAGTAAAATTGCATGTATATTCTTGTTTCCCTTCTATATGACTTTACCGAAAGAACCTAGAATATGAATCCCTGCAGTGACGAAAGCTTTAAGTCAAAACTTGCATGTATTTCAGATAGGAGGGTGCACATCCAGAATATTCATGAGAATAATGAGAGAAAGGCAATGTTAGATTTCTTGGATATGGGAAGAGAAGGCGAGACCGAATATAAATGTGATCTTGACCGGGAAAATGATCGGTGCAAGACAGCGAATTAAGCAACATAACGACATTTAACAATTGGATGCGACTGGGAGGAGTATCTCAGTGATTCAATAGCATGGACAGGGATGACTGGAAGGCAAGGCAATGATCGCAGACATCTTTCAGAAAGGACATGGCACACAGACCGGGGGAGAGTTGTACTGTATTGATGTCATGTATCTATTAGAGGTTCTTTGTGTTAGATTGCATGAATGTAAATGTGTAGTTTAAACCCTCCGCCACCCGACACAACCAATTCGTAAGGTTATTAATTGGCTGTGTCGGTTACTAATTGGCTGTGTCGGGTGGCGGCGGGTTTCACGACACATATATTTTTCCGCGATTTAACCCACCAAAAAAAACCTCTACTGTGGAAGACATTGGCTCGCAAAAGCCTGCGTGTTAAACAGATTTCATGTAATATACTGCAGTGAACTCCTCACATCCGTGATGAGGTGGGGGGGGGGGGAGGTGGGGGAGCAACATCACGGACACCGTCTGTCATCTCCCCGTTAACCACGGGGACCATTCCCTCGCCGGTCACCCTCAACATCCACAGTTGCGGCTGCAACCCTGGTGCATTATGGGTAATGCTCCACACACAACACGTGCGCCCAGAATATGGAGACAAATGGGAGGTATGTTTATGTATTTATGCTTAACATTTTCGTGCCTTCGTGCGTTGGATTAAAGGAGTTCGAGGTGATCATCAACAATCTGGAGATCGCATCGAAGCTGCGGAAATGTTGAGCGAAGCGTGCGCGCTTTGAATCGTAGACGAGGGGGTTGGGCGATGACGGGAAAAATGTGAAATGCTTCGCTCGAGACGGGAAGAAATGTGTCTTCAAACGTGAACACTCGTGAACACGCGCATCTCGAAATACACCAGCCAGCCTGGAGTCCGGGAGTTTCCCTTTCTCTCAGCGAGCAAAACAAATCATGCTTTTTATTGCTCCTATTTCAATTTAAACAACCGCCGTATGGTCACTGAAAAAGCAACAATTCACTGCCGTACATTGTAGCAGGCAAAGGTGCAGCCCTGCAATTGCTTGCTCATACCGCTGCTGGTGGAAGGATCCGCACTAAAAAGGAGCTCTGGTGAACCCCTCGAGGGTATTTGGCCTACTCTTCCACGCTGGCCAGACGTCTTAGAAGACGTTTGAGTACCCACACTTTACCCCACCACGTGTGTCCTGCCGATCTAATCTCAAAAAAAGCGTCCATGTCCTTTCCCAAAGACGTCGGGGGATGAACGGCCTTCGATTTACCTCCGTGATATTACCCAAGACGTTTGCATTAGATAATCCCAGTTGCGTCCAATAGTTCAAATGTCTTTTTGTACTTGACGACCAACCGTGGTGCACCCACTTCTACTGCTGGGTGGGATGGAGGCGGAAGGATTTCATGAACTTCCATCGGTTTCAACCGCAACGCCGGGAGGTGGAATCGAACCGGCGGCCCCTGGATCGCAAGGCCAGCGCGCTCATCGCTGCACCACTGCGGAAGCGTCCACTTGCTGTGTCGACTCAAAGTAACGCTCTCCCATTCATCATTCGCATGGCCTTACGATGGAACAAAAATATATATCTCATTGGGCCGACATTTCAGACAATGACCGTCTCGTGTTCTCAGATGCAAGAGTGTGGACGCGACTTCAAGAAAGTGACGTCACATCCTGTGAATGAATCATTTTCAGATCGATCTGAAACGTTTCATTCTTTTGGATCATCTGAAATTTCAAATCTCGGAACGATTGCCAAGACTTTTCAAATCAGCAACACGTCCCTGATCTCATGTTTGCATGCCACAACCTGTGGGGGTCTGGGGCGAGTTCAACCTACCGGGGACGGCGGAGGAGCCCTCAGCGTGACCCGAACGGATTCACGGGGCGACTCGGTGGACACTTGACTCCCCGTTACACTGTCCTGATCTGCACGCACACACAAACAAAATAAAGATTCCCCCATATAGCCTTAATAGACTGTTGGGGCAATCGCTGTTCGCGAGTCGCACCTATGAAGGCCGACACGGTGCACGAGGGGGTGGGTGGCCAGCACCGCACCCGGCCGCCTTTGTCTCCCCAGTGGCGATGTTCGCACACCGCACCCAGGTACACATTTGAGGAATCGAACTCGGGTCTCACACGTGTTCATGACGCCAACAACATCACAACTACAACAGCTGCCAATTGCCTCCCCAACCCCAACCCTCCCCCTAAGTAGCCGCTTAAAGTTTGACGTTTATTTTGTTTCCATCAGGTGAGAAGCCACGTGACCAGGATAAAGTCTAATTTTCAAAAATGAACAAAAGCAAAGACAAACAAATACAAAGGATAGCATTGAAGAAAGTAGCAATCGGAATAAAAAACAAAAGCATCACAGGAGGAATAAAATGTAATTTTAAATTTCGCACAAACATAAATCTACGATAAGTCAAAAAAAATATTTAATTTCCTGCAGCGCAAATCGGCTTGGGCAGATTAACCTCCAGATTGACCACAGGGCAAAATGATGAAATTCAGGAACATTGCGGGTTGACTATAACACGAATATGTAAACAACATCACCAGATTGCGTGTGACGGGCTAAGTGTACTTTAAGGTCACGTGGAGTGCCGAAGGGTTACGTGGAGTGCCGAAGGGAAACTTCCAACGTACAGCGACAAAGCTGGATTCCGGAATGTCAGACCGGCGGAGGTGGACTTTCCAAATCGTGACGATGAGCTAAGGGAGACACTGGGGCAATGGACTCAAGACGTGAAAATGATCGGAGCTCGTTTGAGTGGGTGACACAGGTCAAAAGACAGGCAAAAGTAAACAAGACAAAGCCTCAGACAATTCTGGGGCAAGTGCTGTTGCGAAAGATTATCGGGGACAGCTCCACAACCAGCCGCCTTTGTCTCCCCAGTGATGATGTTTACAGAACATACCAGGTACTCATTTGAGGCTAAGTCAACCCAGGGGTGACCCAGGAGCAGTTCAGATGTCACTTGCCACTGATGTAATCCATGGCTGCTAATCGGACCCAAGGTGCCCGTTTTTGAAGCAAAGTCCACACGTGCACACACAAAGGCAAAGACCCGCCGTACGGCCTTCTTATAGACCGCGGGGGCAGCTGCTGTTAGCGAGCACCTGTTTGGGTTGGAACGGCACGTGAACGGGAGCGGTATGGCCAGTGGCACATCCGGCCACCTTTTTGTATCCCCAGCGAGGGCGATCAGACGCCAGTGCACTCGTTTCACGCAGAGTCGACCGAGGAGAGGTGTCCCGGAACAGGTCCTGATAACCCTTCGTCGATCCACTGCTGGACGAAGGCCTGCGTCATGCCATGGCCATCGTGCAAGGTTTGTTTGCTCTGCCAGGCTGGCCCAGAATCAATGGAGAGTTCACTCGCCACAGACGTTGGTCGCGGCGGGCACCAGAAATCAAACTCGGGTCGCCGAGCTCGTATGAGCAGGGCGTTAATGCCCTTACGTGACCACTGCCCTGCACGACACGCATTCCCTCAGTCAACAAAGCCATAGCCAATACAGCACCTGTCGCCCATCGCATAACAGGGATTCGAAAACATAAACGGTACAATTGGCTCTGGGGAAAAGGAAAAAAAAACAACGAGTGGTCTGATTAAAGAGGGCCGCTTGCATTCAGCTCGGTGGGTTTGGGTTGGGCCATATCTCGGCCCAAATCAGCAAGCGCACCTTGCTCCGTTGACACGGCGGCATCCAACAAACCTGGGGTGGGTTTATGACGAACCTCGTCATAAAACACAGAGCAGAGGGATTGCAAAAATAGAATCACAAGCCAGGGAGTGTTGGGGAGGTTGCGTCAAACGAGAACTATTTCTCTGTGCGCGTAGGTGAGCGTAGTGTCGTGCGTGGCGCACCGAGCTGCACACCCCGGTGACCCGGGTTCGATTCCCATTCTCGAACAATAACAGTGGCGACTCTTTGAAGCGCTCCTGGGCCTCTCCCGAGGTTTACTCGGCCTTAAATGAGTACCTGGTGCGGTGTGTAAACGTCCAGCACTGACTGGGGAGACGAAGGCGGCCGGGCGTGGTGTTAGCCACGCCACCCCCTCGTGTGCTGTGCCTGGCTTCATAGGCGCTCGCTTACAGCATTTGCCCCGACAGTTTGTTAAAGGCTATACGGGGGATTTTTGCCATTTGATGATACACACGGACACCTACAAACACTTAAAAACACACACACACACCTGTACAAACACACTCACATCTAAACACACATACACCTTCACCCATACAAAAACAAACAAAAGTATACTCTTATAGCCTTAACAGAAGTGCTTTAAGCAAGCACCTATGAAGGCCAACACGACACACTAAATGGGGTGACGCGGTGAACAAACTGCTCATTTAAGGCTGGGTCGACCTAGGGGAGGCCCAGGACCAGTTCAGATAATCATCACCGGTGTTGGCCGTGAGCGGGAATCGAACTCTGGTTGCCGGGTTCGTAGCGCAGTGCGTTAATCGCTACACTGCCGCTCCCCACGCAACGACTAGCACGTACAAAGACAATGATCCCCCCCGCATCGTCAAATAGCAACTCGCTCCCTCCAGAACGTTTAGCTGGGCGCGGGGTCAAAGTTCTTGGTGTGTGCAGCTCGTCGGAGCCCTCTCACCATGGTCTCACGGTGGCGCTCCCGGCATCATGCCGCAAGGTGAAGAACCCCCCCATTCCAAACCCTCGCAGGGAGCGGTGTAATGTCGCCTCGCGTCACAGAACGACTCGCGGAAGACGACACCGCGGGATTACTTCTGAAGCCGCTCTAGTAGGCCCTCTTTATCCACACTGGACGTTGCAGTGTGACGAGGCTTGGAATGCCGAATGGTGTTCGCGAGAAGTCGCAAACACCTCCTCGTGGGAGACCCAACGGTGCAGAAGATCCCCGGCTTCGATATTCCGCGAAAGCTTCTGGGGCCACAACCGCTAAACCGCGTCAGCGCACGGCCCGTGGCAGCAGTGGATGCGGATAATTAATGATTATTGATGACGTATGTATGCACGTTGAATTTCTTTCGCGCACTACGTGGCCAAACCGTGCAAATCGGAGGTGCGGTGGGGGAAAATGACGATGCACAAATGTAAAAACTCTCCTGTGTGCGGCGACCATGGTAACCACCCGGGACAGGGCCGTGGGACATTTCGTGACTCGATGCCGGATTCACAAACACGACAGAGGACCACGGCGATTACACCACTCCGCTACTCCTGACGCAATTGCATGGCTCAACCACGCTCGGTGTAAAATCACAGCTGTTGCTCTACTTCATCATCATCATCAGCCGTAAGGACGAGAATAAGAAGCCCTGCAAAGAGTGATTGTCGCATGTCAATCAAAATGATTTGATTTTGTTTATATACATATTTATATTTGGTCCACTGAGCCGGAACAGGACGCGCCAGTGGAAAAGGGGTTAAGAACGAGTCGAGGGGAGAATGATCGGGCAAACGGCGACGGGGTCGGCGGTGCAGGGCCCCACCATGGATCTCTGCCCTGGGCTTCTCCGCCGCGCTCTGCCAGAGCTCGTCCACGCAGCGTGGACGCGTCGACGGCACCAGCGCGTTGGTTTTGACGGCGCGAGTCGTCCGGAAGTGATCCGTCCTCCGGCTCTCATCCTGCAGGGTGGACACAGCTGGTGCGAGAGAGGGAGGGAGGGGGGGTAGATAGAGATGCGCGCAGGTTAACTTGGCCATCCCTGTTGACGTCAACATCGATGTCATCTTTCGGCATCATCATCGTCGGTGTTGTAGGTAACATCGTAGTCGCCATTACAGTCATCATTACCATGATCATCATCCTCGTATTCATCATCATCAAACTATCATCATTTGCACTGTCATCACTATCATCTGGAGCCATATTGATGCATGAATTAAATAATTTATCTAAATTCTTTCTCAGGCTCACGGTAAACAAATTAGAATAAAAAATATTTAACTATTTCAAGCTAACGATACAAGCATCCAATTATGTGTTTGAGAAGCAACGTACTTCTGGTTTTGTGCATGCAAGGAGTAGGTTCTAGGGATCACTCGTGGCCTCTGTATTCACCCCGATGGTCAAAATAAGAATTGGTTCTTGAATCAAATCATGATCCTGAATCGCAAATTTCATAGAATCACCGACTTCACCACGATCAACATTACCGACATCACCGTCATCGTTATAATCATCCGTATCATCACTGTCACTTGCGTCACGATCACCGTCACCATCATTGCCATCACTCTCATCATCATCATCATCACTGTCTCACCATCATTGGAAATCGATCGAACTCATCATGATCATCATGATGGATGCACCCAGCACGGGATTATTTGTTGACTCGTCTCGACGTTTGTGATGTTGTGTTGACGTTTGTTGTGATGTTTGTCTATAAGCTGTGCGTATGCGAATATAAATGTGTATCTAGCAAGAGCGTGGGCTTCAAGCTGTGAGAACAGGATAGTTAAAGAACTCGCAGATGAGGATACTCCGGGCTTAATTTCTCATGCGATAATTTCCAGGAAAGCTGATGTCACACATGATTTCATGTCACAACCGTCTGCGTGTCCTTATTAAACAGTTTATCCCACGGATGACGACGTCAAATGTGAGCGCTGTCCTGAAGGACATTCGATAAGCCCTGAGCACTATTCACTATTCATAGACGCGCATCTCGGTCTCGCCGCGCCGGGAGTTGGAATTGAACCGGCAACCCCTGGACTGCAAGTTCAGTCTGCTCAGCATCGCACCACGGCTTCCTCCGTCACTCGAGAACAAGAGGTGGCGTGGAGGGGCGGGGGGAGGGTTTAGGGGAGGGGATGTGAGATTAAATCTCCTTGCGGGAGACAGACTAATTGGTACCGTCAGATACTGACATCACTCGCTAGCCACCAACGCCCCGTTTCTGCTTTTATGACGGACGTTTCCAATCCGTAATCTTCCGGGGGCTTTAATGAGCCCAATCACCTGTCGGGCCGGTCCCTGTAATGCGCACATGCCTCTCGCTTTATAAATACACCTGGGTGACTTCACGACTCCGCGCCCAAGAGCTGTAATCAGGGATATTGCTCCGCGAGACATTTGAATGCAAAAAAATACTCCCACGCACCCCCCCCCCGCCCCCCCCCCCCCCCCCCCCCGTGACCCGTAATCACATTCGCAATCGCTGACAGTGGTGGGATGGGAATACGTTGCAAGGACGCAAGTGCCGGTGGGCGAAAGCGGAGGCCACAACGAATCCCACCCGCACGGCCTCCGTGGACTGTTGGCGCAAGCGCCGTTCACGAGCACCTATCAAGAATCTGAATCTTTATTTGTACCGCAGGAGGAATCTGATGAGTTGTCAAGATCTTTTTTTTTCACAGATGTCCAGGAAGGGCACGGGGCCAGAAAGTTACAACAACAAATAAAAAAACGATAGGAGTGCAAAGCATAGGGAAAGTAAGAAAATCACAAAAAAATGTAGCTTAAATTAAAGATTTGTATTTTACCAGGTAAGGCCCAGTGAATTATTAGCTTATTTTTCAGAAGCGACCTGGCCACAAACGATAGCGCAACGTGATGTGACTTATCGTGTGGACATTTACAGCAGCCAAATATACTCTAAATAAATCGAAGCGCACGTTGATTTTAGACGAGGATAAGAGCGTTGCAACAACGAGGGGGGTGTTAGGGTGGCCATCACCGCACACGATCATCTCCCTCTGCCTTCTCCCAGTCCTGATGTTCTACAGAGTGGCCGGATAATCAACGACGAACGAGGGGGGGAGGGAGCTCCAACCCCAGTTCTGATATCAACTCGCTACTGATGTTAGCCATTTGCTGGCAAATTGAATTAAAGTTACCGGCGGGTTCGTAGCGCAGTGCGCTAACTGCTGCGCCACCGCTCCCCCCCGCCCGCGGTGAAACACGCGTGTTTGCGTGCGTACCGACAATCGCACAGCTGCAGCACGTTACGCGAAATTGTCTTTCGTTGCCTTTATGTCTCAAGGTCACGCCAAGCTACGTGGTATTTTTTTTTGCGGAATTACGTCGCATTAAGTTTTGCCTTCTTCAAGGGTTCGGGTCTGAAAATGAAGTGAAAACAAACGCAGCGCAAAGCGGAAACGTTCGCGCAGGGTAACGGAGGACGACTAGATTTTAACATACCACAATGCAGTTCTTCGGCACTGGTGGTTTTGCGTTACGTGCGAGGCCCCGTGAGCTTTTGTACAAGCGGTGCGCATCTTTGCCATGAAATATATCTCAAATCAGGATTAAGCATATCTCACTAAGGTTTTAGGGTGGAGGTGGAGTGGGCTGTATGTGGGGGGGGGAGGGGGGAATAAATAAATAATCAATGAAAGGTCACGCTGGGGAGATGTATGCGCGTTAAGCCGGGCGTAACAATGACAGCGAACCATTTATCCACCGAACAATGCTCGGTGGGTGCCTTCAAACACGACCGCACTGCCCTCCTCCCGGTGCTGATCTCCTTCCGCCGCCCGTACATTCCCCCCCCCCGACTCCGGCCTCGAAGATCGCACCCCAACAGGAGCCGCTACGCTGCCGAGATTTCACGCCGTGCGGTTCAATTTCGTCTTGGGGTTGTTTTTTCTTCAAATCTCTCAACAAAGGAGACAGGTGATGACGTCTTTTTTTAATGCAGATATTTACACCTTTCTTTCTTCCCACCACCACCAAACGCCGTTTCGCGCTTTATCTCGCGAAGCGCACGAGTGTTTCCTACGAACGATCGTCCGCCCCCCCCCCCCAAGTTGCCACCGGGGCGAGACGCAGATCCCGATAATGAAGACGATGACGGATGTGTTGTGCCGCCGAGCAAAATGGCTCTTGATGTCAGAAATAAAATGGGATACAGACCCTGTAATCTACACCGTCTTATTTTTCCCACCTCTTTCCGAAACTTCAGCCGCCGCCCACCAGACCTCCCTGTAATTTAATCCACGACACTAAGTCGTCTGTCATTTTTTTTTCTGGTTCCGTACGTATCTGCCCGCTGGTTTAAATTGTTGTTGTTATTTTGTTTTGGGCAGCTCTCTATGGACCGCGTGACCTCGAGATGTCCTGAGAAACCCTCACCTGCCTGGGAGTTATGCCAAAAACGCACACGGCACACCGTGCTGCTGGCCTTAGCAACATCTGCGTGACAGAGATTCCGTCCACCGGAGCTCTGTGTTCATTATTTCCTGCGCACGCACTCCTGCCACCTCCTATCCCCCGTACCTCCGATGATCACAGTTGGCTACGTACGGTGCGAAAGAGTGTCAAGACACACATTGGCACGGTTGGCAATGTACGGTGTGAAAGAAGTTCAACATACACACATTGGCACGGTTGGCTATGTAATGTGCGAAAGAAGTTCAACATATTTCGATTTGAAGCTTTCGTGACTGCAGGGATTCATATTATTTTATTCTCATTCTACGTGACTTTACCGAAAGAACCAAAGAAGTTCAACATACACACGGATGCACACCGTGATTTACAACTTGCCGTAACAACTGCCAACACGAGAGGAAAATGGCCTTAAGTCAATGCCGTGATTGAAATTATGGGCCAGCTTTGAAGTGGAATATTACAACAACATCAACAAATCTCACCGGTTTTGGGGATTAGGTTTGCGAGCAGATTAAATTTGGTAGAGAATGAATGGTGGCAATCTCTTATTTTCAACATATACTGCATTATAGCCCCAATAAAAATATAGATGCATTGATATTTTCACAGAATGTATGTGTACAATTACTAATAAATTCGAATGCATACATTTCCTCCTTGCCTGGTTTTATTTACTTATCCATCAGAAGTCTATTCCGCAAGACAGATTTACTTGTATAAATGAGTACCGATTGCACTTCAAATACATTAGAGAATAAAATCTCAACGAGTTCAAATTCAGACGCCGCATTAGTCCAAAAATTGCATTGTGAACGATGCACGCGTGCACATGCCCTCTTACAGACCGTCAGCGGAAGAGTTCCTGCCCTTCCTCACGAATGAGTTCGCGAGGACGAGGCTACTAAGACCAGAGCAACTTATGACACCGCCGCAAAGCCAACCCAAATATTTCGCCCTCTTTCGATGAAAACAACAACAACAACAACGACGACGAATCGAGGCACTCACGATTGGTCGCCGTGCCTGCACGTCTCATTTTGGGATCCCATGCCACGTCCCAACGCGACCGCCACCACCGCCACGGCGAAAACCTCCGACGGGTGGCAAAGCAGCAGCCGCCACCGCCACCTCTCACCGCGGACGCATCCGTGCGGCACTGTACGTACAGTGGCGCAGGGAGAGGACTTTTCTGAGACCCGCACTCGGCACGACCGGCAGGGCCGTACCATTCATAACGGGGACTTAATCCGCCACTCTCACCCGCCCGCCCGCTCGCTCGCTCTCTTTCCCCGACCTCCCGCATCATTACCTGCGACCTTTCCCCACACTGGGTGGGGAGGGGGGGTGCAGCTGGGGAGGGATAACGAGGAATACATTTTTAGTAAATTCGGCGGTTGTTTTGGGAAGGAACCGCGGAGTTTTGTTTGGGCAGCCTCAAGAGTTTGGGGGGCGGGGGGCAATGGTGGTGCCTGGACTTTAGCAGACATTACCTTTGGGCCCCCCCCCAACTCGCTCAATTTCAAT